TAAAATATACATATGTGGTTTCAACAACCAGATTGCGTTACACCTAGTAAAGATCCGACACAATGCGAGCCAGACTACCTCCAGATGTGGTCAGGCAGATCCGATCACGATCCGATCACAACGCATTTACACCTTGCATTAACATGCGTTTTTTATTATCCGGATAACTTATCTGGATACAGATCGCATTTTAATACCAGGTGTAAACGGGGTCTTATTGTTGGGTAAACTAATCTTTTGATTATCATATAAAGGAAAGTAATAAAGATAAGTAGACATAAAATCTCTCCTCTCTGTGAAATATCCATAAATCGGTGCCCTCCAAAATGTACACTCGCATAAAAGTTTATTTCACCTCGCCAATAAATTCCTTGTAAACATAAAGATTTGCCCAGAATATGACAAATCCTAGTTCATTTATGAAGAAGATTTCCATATATCATAAATCCCATCCCTTAGTGGATTTGTACTCTCTGACATGTGAGAATGGAGACCTAGACTGATCGATTAGTTTTATCCCACAGCATTAACAAAAATAATGAAAGCAAGGATAGATAGGGAAAAGCGAGATATTTTTGGCTACAGCCTGACTGTTTGTGCACACGTGAAGTGAACTCAACGGTGCCATTAGTCTTAAACAAGCAAATGTGAGCAGCAGCTGAGTGGGGCCCCTCACGTGCCATTTGGCTACAAGGCAGTGTTACATGCGTCGAGGAGTTACTCGGTTCATAGCAATTACTCAAACATATGACAGGACTCATGACTCACACACTGCACCGCATTTTGCTGAGTGAAAACAAGACTGGTCTGAATCATATTAAAGTCACTGAGAAAACTTCTCACTGCAACTCTCCAGACCTGACCTAAAAGGTTTCACAGAGAGAACCGTTGCCATAATTTGATTTAATTCTCCAGCTGATTGGGGAAAATATTTTAACTGAAAGCAGGACGAAAGCCTGTTCTTTGCATTATTTAATTAAAGTTCCTTTTCATTAATGAAGGTTACTTATGATCCATCGAGGTCAATATCTAGTATTTCTCCAGCAATCTGCATTTAACCTTCACCTGTCTCATCAAAAGTTGTTTTTATTGAATATTCC